TTTCAATCTACCCCAATGAGTTACTCTGTAAATTCCAGGTATTTTTCTCAATTAAAAATGAAAATATACCAGTAACTTGTCATATTTAATGATTTTGACTGTCGAAAAAGAGCTAAAATATTCGGAGACCAAAATCTGACTCAGTCCTAAGAAATGAACAAAGAAAGTGTATAAAAACTGATATTTTCTTTACAAAAACGACTTTTGTTCAATAATATATCATCAATCTTTTTAACAATTTATCCATTACTGAATTCAATGATTAACACAAACTAAACCAAAACCAAAAACGTTTTTTTCTGAAATTCATGAAATATGTGATTTCGGAAAAATAGAGAAAGTTTTACCTGATGTTGTTTTCTGTACACAAGAACACGAAACCAACTCAGTATGAATGCAATAAACTAGATTCCTCTATATATAGTTCATTTTATCGTATATGGAAAGTAGGAAATTTAATGGATACAGAGCTATAAATTTTGGTCGTGCTTGACAGAGCTAGCAAATCAAAAATTAACTGAAAATAAAATTATTGCTTCCGAATATTTGGTTTTAAGCAATAATAATATATTTCATGGTTCATAAAATGTGAATTTAACTAGTTTTCGAATAACGTATATTTTTCAAAGTGTTCCAATTTTTATCACATCCAAACGATAATCTACAAAAATCAGTTCGAAATAACAATATCAAAGTACAATAAGTTATTACCGCATACTTAAAAAAACCGAATACTTTCCTTCGTATATCTATGAAAAAATATAATAGCACTTTCTATCACTAAAGTAGAATTTCCTAAATGTCAATAACTGTGATAATATTCGATATTCTCCAGAAGTCATTTCAACAAAGTTGAGATGCTTTGGAAAATGCGAAAAATGCTGTTCATCACACACCTTTTCCGCAGATTCTCAAAACAAATACATAACTTTCAACTCTAAAATATCAATACGCCACTGTGAAACAAACAAACTAATAATTAATTACCAATAAATCTCTATCTGGTATATAGAAAAAGTGTTTTCATGGGGTAGGAATAAGGACTTCTGAAACATCGAGAAGAAGAAAAATTGGAAAGTTAAATATCTGGATGTGATACTGGGACATATATTAAGCACACCAACAGCAGTGCAATTAGAAACATTCATGAATCTACCTATTTTTTTGTCGAGAAATCCAGAATCCAGTAAGCATAGGATGTCCATTAGGCATCATTTAAAGGTCCTATATTGGTTCCCATGCACATGGACTCTGAAGGGATGTCCAAGGAAAATCCTTGAAAAATCCATCATTCAGCAAGACAAACATGGACGTTGAATAGATGCCCGCAGGATGTTTTCGAAAATATCCATCTAAGGACTTGAAAAGGACTTTGGAGGGATATGCATGGAGGAATGTACGTCACGGACGTGACGTGGACATTAAGGGTGGTTTTTCAATCAACATTCACTTGTATGTATGTAAGTCCCGCAGTCTCTCGTAGGATATCCATTGGATATCAATGAAAGGCCCTATATTGGTCCCCATGCACATGGACTGTGCAAGGATGTCCAAGGGATAACCTTGAAAAGTATATTTATCGGCAACACAAACATGGACGTTGAATGGACGTCCGTAGGATGTTCGTGAAGATACCCTTCTAAGGACTTGAAAAGGACTTTGGAGGGATATACATGGAGAAATATACGTCACGAACGTGACGTGGACAATTAAGGTAGTTTTTCAATCAACATTCACTTGTATGTATGTAAGTCCCGCAGTCCCGCGTAGGATATCCATTGGATATCAATGAAAGGCCCTATATTGGTCCCCATGCAAATGGACTGTGCAAGGATGTCCAAGGGATAACCTTGAAAAGTATATTTATCTGCAACACAAACATGGACGTTGAATGGACGTCCGCAGGATGTCCGTGAAGATACCCTTCTAAGGATTCGAAAAGGACTTTGGAGGGATATACATAAAAGATTGATTATTAATCCATATGAAGCAAACCTGGAATGGTTAATAGGGGATGTATTTCAATCGTCATTCACTTGTATGTATGTATGTCCCACTGAAAATTAATATTTCTTCCTCTCTGAAATATCTAGAAGAATAAATAAAACTGTTGGGAAGAGTGAAATATCTAAATGTTATACTAAGACCTAGATCAAACACACCAATGGCAGTAGTTTTATCTTGTAATCAACGGTCCAGTAAGCATAGTATATCCATTGGACATCAATGAAAGGTACTATATTGGTCCTAATGCACATGAACATTGAAAGAATGTCCATGGGATATCCTTGAAAAATTCATTATTAGGCAAAGCAAACGTGGACGTTGAAGAGACGTCTGCAGGATGTCTGTGAAGATACCCTTCTGAGGACCTAAGAATGACTTTGTAAGGACATGCATGAAAGATCTTGATCAAACCTGAAATGGACAATTAGGAATGACTGTCAGTCGGCATCGACTTGTATGTGTGTGTCTCACTGTAAAATAGTTTTTTCACACTCTTGGTGGCATTTGTCAAAAAACACATCACTTTCTTTCGCTGTCATTTTCATATAAACTCTATCGTCTTCATCGGCAGATTTTTATCCCGGTTCAATAGACATCGTCTGATACGACAAGAACAAATGAAGTAATAAATGACCACAGCTTATCAGATGGTTCTTAGTAAGACGTAACTGATTGTTAAAAAATAATTGATGAAAAATTGTGATATGAAATATGAACGTTTGTTAAACCTAACTAGGTATAGTCTGGTTCACATGTACTTTTTTTTGTAACATTTTTCCGCTCTGTCCAAAAATTACGACCAAGGTGTCATTCGATTCGTATTTTTGCCTAGAAAGTTTAAGGCAAGGTCCGAAAACGCGCCGATGAAAATTACAAAAGTTATAAACAATAGGGTAAAAAAAAAATGGGGCTTTAGTTTTTTCTTAATATCTCGGAAAATTTTCAAAATTTTGGAAATTTGAAAAAATATTTGAAAAGAGTGAAAAAGTCCCGACTCCCGAAACTGTATCTCGATTATTTATAATTTTCACAGAGCCCCGAAAATAGAGCCAAAAGCGGGTAGTTCTGAATTGAAAGTTAATATAAAAATCCGTATAATTATTAAACTAAATCCCTGGCATTTTTTTTCCTTTGGTGAAGTTATCTTCAATAGGCAAAAAAATAGATCGCCTTGCCAAAATAAAAAAATTGTTATTTTCTATTTTTTTATTGACAATTGAAAATTATAATTACGTCCATATGAACCAGACTAGTATATGAGCTGGTTTACAAACTCGATGATTTTATATTTCTCCAGCAGCATCTTGAATTGCTTCATGTCAAAGTTTTCTATTCAAAAAATGTGGTTGCCTTGGATTTCCTCAAATTCACTTTCATTTGATACTTGATGAAGTAAGTGACGACTTTTCCTTCAATTTGTTCAATCCAAACGGAATTCACATCTATGAAGAAGTTACAATTATAACAGCAAATAAAATTATAGAGGGCCTAAGAAACTTCCTTGGAATACACCAAAATCATTTTCATTTAGACAACAATCATCGATTCCTCAGGTTTCAAGAAGCTAGGTATGAAGGTGGTTTTGGAAACAAGTCATACACTACGCAGATACTTTTAGGAAATCCAAAAGAGAATTCGGAAAAGTGTGAAATTTACGGAATTAAATGTAAAGGCTGCGATACTAAATAATATGGACAAATACCTAATATCTAATAGTAGTGGACCAATACCTAACATTATACTATATAGCTTGTTGGAATAATATTTCAGTATGGGGAGTATGAGGAGGAAAAGGAAGTGAAAATTTGACATTGACACAAAGTCTCCAACTATTACAGAACATATTTGGTTTGACAAATGATATATTTAGTGATCACAGTACGTAAAGTTTTCCAAAGTGAGCAAAGAAACATTCATCTTAGGAAAACTTTACGTACTGTGGTCACTAAATATATCATTTGTCAAACCAAATATGTTCTGTACTCAACACGTTGGAGATGGTTTTCTTTGAAAATAATTTCAAAAATATCCAAACAAAAATATTCACATTTTGTGCAGATGTTTGCTTATTGTGATGTTCATGTTCATGTCCACTCAGAGTGGTTTTTACTAAAGTTGTGTACCTTAAGACAGCAGGATCTTCTTGTATATCCTTGACGAGTAAGTAATTCTACAATATTAAAAGAATTTAAAGTTCAATCTAAAATTAAAATAAATATCATTGAATATTACTTACTTGCAGGTACCGCTTCTGATGATGGCGTAACAGCCGAAAGCGCTTTGCAATTCACAAATCATTTTTTTCACACGAAATACGATTCCTTTCCTGATTTATCAGTCACGTGTATGCAATTTTAACAAATATCAAACTTAAACCGGTCCGTTTTGTCTTTGACCAAGGCGTAATAATGACCAAAAATTATTAGAATTACCTGACTAACATAAAGACATATTGTAAAATTAATTTAAGGAAAGTAGATGAGGCAAATTGTAAAATTAATTTAAGACACTCAAGACACAGGTACCTGAAACAGGTATCTATAGTATGAATAGGGATATCTTTGTGAATAGGATTAGTTTAATTTTCCTCTTGAAGATGATCACTTGGTGATCGAAACACGTGTCGAGGTGTTAAAATAATGGTTTGGTGTTGGAAAAAAACTCCAATAATATTCATTACTACACCAAAGGTTGCGAACAGTGCAACACAGGTATCATGGATAGTGTTGATTTTCATTAAGTAACAGGTCAGTCTCTTCATTATCTATTTGAGAGTATTTGGTACCGTTTAAGATATAGTACAAAAACGTTTTCTATGTTTCCATACATTTCATTGAAGTTTGATATAGTTCATCAATTTTGGTTTTTGTCAATAAAATTCAAAACTATTGGATTTGTATTTGCTATCTTCGTCTTCAGTACTCGTTGTTATCGAACTGAATTCTATATCAGTGGTATCAAACGACCTAATGTATCGAAAAAAAACTAATATATAGAGTTGGAATATTTATTGACTGATACATTTTTCTCCATAGACCTAAATCAACATTTTGGAATTTTTCATAGCATTCACATCAAGTCGAAGCTGCTTCCATTCCGTTGGCCCGTTTTCGCTTCAGTACATGAGGAAATTCTGAAAATGTAAATACATTTTACATTATATCAAACAATGATTTCAAATTGAAAATACCAATGAATGAATAACATCAAGAAATTTGAGACTATATTCAAAACTAAAACAGAATTAGATCATCATGAAATTATTTGCATCGTCTTTGAAAGAAGTTGATGAAGTCAAAAGTTCTAGCAGGGAAGAAAACTCCCATTATTCTTAGTTTTGTAAGCTTCATTTCGGAATAATTTCAAAGCAATTATGAAGTGATGTTTTATCAAAGTGTCTTCTCTTTCAATTGTTCACAGGGTTTGGCTAGAAACTGAGAGGATTTTTGTTTCTCTCACAGAAAACCGTCTCGTTATTTTGTAGACACACCTCGTAGGCTGTAGAGAAAAATGTTGATATCAACATTTTCAGTAGAACTCACCTCAGGATCTTTGTTGTAAATACATTGAGTTGCTTTCCATACCATGAGATGAGCTGGTTCATGAATACCTGCAGATCCAAATGAAATGAATGATGAGAATAATGCGACGTGACTTTATTAAATTGTTTTTGAATTTAATGGTGATGTTAATCGTAAGTACTGGTTTGATTCTAATTTCTCAAACTTTCAATAAGCACAAATTCCACCAATACAAAGAAATGGAAAGAATGACCAATTAGGAAGAAGTTAAAAATATTAGGATATGGAATACACATATCTGAAACGTCTTTGTAGTTACTTCAGTGTGAACATTTCCGATGCATTTGGCGAAAAGAAAATAATGAGAAAGTTATAAGAAACTCACCAGATTTTTTGGTTTCTTCAATACAGTCAATGTAAGTTTGTTCATTGATTTTTCCTGGGGCATAATATTCAAGCAGATCTATATTGACACTGAGGTCAGTGGATAACTGAAAATGGAAAACAAATCACAAATGTGCAACAGGAGTTTTAGACATTTTTGGGAAAGACAGGTTTTGGCATTCTACTTATAGATAAGTAGAATCCTCCAAAGAACGAAAGAAAGAAAAAAAGCAATACATTTTGAAAAATCCACTCTATACTCATACATGTTTTAGTATGAAGATGAAGTAGAAAGCCAAAATATTTCTTTCAATTTGTTCCAGAAATGATTTCAATTCCTCACTTGTAAATTGGTATCAACTATTGTATTATTATCGTATTATTGTATATTAAATCTGTAAATATGATTCAATGCAATTATGAAATGGAAACCAAAAGTTGAAAGTTTCAAGAAAAAGAAACCCTGGAATAATCAAACTAATTATCATCATTTCGTGAATACTCTATTTCCTAAAACGCCAATGAGGTCATTCGAACAAATTTTTTGGAAATACGTATCTAATATGGAAACTCATTAATACAGTATTTCTACTCACCACACCCGAGAAAACGTAGAGACACAGTACGTAACGCTGCAAAAAACAGAATGTATTCAATACATATTAACAATCACATAGTATATTCATAGAATAGATTCTTCATTTCAAATCTGTCCATAAATTATATCACTAAACATTACCTGAGCCCTTTCATCATTGGCAAATGTTCCATTTTTCATTTCGTCAATATCCTTCTGGTTTATCCCAACTACCATATTACATTTGTCATGGAAAGATTTATACACTTGTTGTAGAGAACTGCCGAAGTCCTGCAAAATGAATTCTTTTTGAAGTTCAGACTTTTTTATTAATAGTATTCTTTGTTATTGACGTGAGATTTTCGTGACTTCATGACAACTGAGATTTCCACTGAACACTTTTCAAAATCTCAACACGCAACACGAAGATAAATACGTCATTTTGGTGACACTTACTTTCTCATCTAAAGCGGCAAATGTGACAGATGATCCCAATGAAACAAGAGCCAAAGTTATGATCCAATTCATTTTGAATGATGGAAATCTGAAAAATAGTTATTGAAATGTTAAAGGTACTAATACATTATAAATTTCGATTGATCGCTACACAAAGTCTATTCCAAGAAGATATGAACTTTCTTTCAACTTATTTTTTCTTCAATTCATCAATTGATATAAGCTATCTTACGAAATTTCACCCAATCACTTCTGATGCTCTCTTTTCAATCTCTTTGTGAACTTTTCTTGACCAGTCAATGAGAAACCTCATATTGTTTTTGATAACTACAGTAATTTTGAATCTCTTGAGAACCAAGGACTTTTGTTATATTAGAATGAAACTTTCCTCTTCGAATGGATGAAAACTAATGTGTCATAACCAAAATAAATATATAATATATTATTATTTAACGAAAGTCATTTTTTGTGAAGGAAAATCAGTGTTTCGTCGACCTTCTTCACAATCTAAAAAGATTAAAAAATCATAATGGGGAACGTACGTGTAGAAACAGCAAACTTTTCAGTCTACCCCAATAAGTTACTGCGTAAATTCAAAGTATTCTTCGCAATGAAAAATGAAAATATACCAGTAACTTGTCGTATTTGATGATTTCGACAGTCAAAAAAGAGCTAAGAAATTCGGAGACAAAAATCTGACTCAATTCTAAGAAATGGACAGAATCTAAGTTTATTCGCAGTCGACAAATGTCAAAGAAGTTTTGAAAGTGAAAATACCCAAAGAAGGTCTATAGAAACTGATTTTTTCTCCACAAAAAAGGACTTTCGTTCAATAATATGTCAATCTTTTCAATAATTTATCCATATCTGAATTTGATGATCAACAGAAACCAAATTCAAATTTTTTTTGAAACTCATGAAAAATGTGATTTCACAAAAATACAGAAGTTTTACCTGTTGTAGTTTACTGTATACAAGAACACGAAACCAACTCAGTATGAATGCAATGAACTAGATTCCTCAATATATAGTTGATTTTATCAAGAACTATATGAAAAGTAGGAAACTTAATGGATTCAGAGCTATAAATTTTGGTCGTGCTTGACAGAGTTTGAAAATCAAAAAGTAACTAAAAATTAAATTATTGTTTCCGAATACTTGGTTTCAAATGATAATAATATAGTTCATGGTTCATAAAATGTGAATTTGGCTAGTTTTCGAATAACGTATATTCTTCAAAGTGTTCCGTTTTTCTTTACATCCTAACGATAATTTACAAAAATCAGTTCAAAATAACAATATCAAAGTACAATATGTTATTACCGCATACCAAGAGACATAAGCTTGAAAAAACTGAATACTTTCTTTTGTATGACTATGAAAAAATATTATATCTGGTAAATAGCACTTTCTATCACTCAAAATAGATATTCCTAAATATCAATAACTGTGATAATATTCGATATTCTCCGGAAATCAGTTCAACAAAGTTGAGATGCTTTGGAAAATGGGAAAAATGCTATTCATTATATACACCTTTTATACAAATTCTTAAAACGAAGACATTACTTCCTACTCAATTTAAGTTCAACGCCCTGTATCTCAGAAACTTATCAACTCGGGACATACAGTGTCACCATTAAAGTACGCACCATATGGGAAACTTTTTTTCGAAAAGTTTCTATGAAGTTCAACTTCGGCACTTGTTTGTGTTTTAAATTTACCTTAAAATGATGCGGCCAACTGCGACCCACTGACGTTCAGTGTTTGTCAAATTCAACTTTCTTTTTTTTTAATTGAAAAAGTGCATTTCTAGATCGAATTTAACAAAAAGTTACTTGAAAAAGTTGGGTCTACGGCAATGTTATATTCATATGCCAAATTTTATGCAACTAAGATAAAGTTAACGTTTTGCTTATTTTTGACAGATATCCCCTTTATTTTAAAAAACAAGTTCGGTTAATTGTCATCAATTCATGTATACACAACAAACTCATCATGGAGTTTGACTTTTCTGATTAATTTTCACTTATACGGACATTTTTAGAGAGAAATTAAAAATTTGTTATAAAAATTTCAACCTGACTGGTGCAAAGTTTCAATCACTTTGCTATTTTCTTAAACAAACCTTTGATTTCGAAAAAGCAGAGGCATCTGAAAAAAATGCAAATAATTTCGATAGAACTATTATCATTATTATAAATTTTAAACAACAATAATATTATAGAAAATACAAATGGGTACAAAAAATTACTTATTGATCTAAATGAGGTTGTCAAACACTTATAGCCTACATTTCAGTATGCCGTCCTCCACGTTCAATACAAATTATGGTCCTTCTACTGACATCTGTAACTGCATTTTTAATAAATCGGGGATTTATATTTGCAGAACGAATGGTATTTTCCAGATGTTGTGTGTCAGTAAATGGTCTACTTCGGTACACCTTTTGTTTCAGGTAACCCCACAAGAAAAAGTCTAAAGGCGTCAAGTCGGGTGATCTAGGTGGCCAATAATGTTCCCAATTACATCCAATAACTTTACCTCTGAACATTTGTTGGAGGGACTGTTTTACAGCAACCGTGTGATGTATTGGTGAGCCATCAAGCTGATACCTTAGGTCGTATTTAATATTTAAAGGCATATTATCTAAAACTTCACTAACCTCATTATTTAAAAGGTTGAGATAACCGACGGCTGATAAATTTTCCCTAAAGAAAAATGGCCCAATTATTTGGTCGTTAAGTATCCCACACCATACATTAGTTTTAAAAGAATACTGATCACCACATTCAACTGTGAAATTGGGATTTTCTTGGGCCCACCATCGGCAATTTTGAGAAATTACCGTTCCATTTGAAGAGAACGTTGCCTCATCTGTCCATAAAATTTCATACGGAAACTTTACATTTTCTTCTCTCTCCTTGAAACCAGAATGAAAACCCCAAACGGACATCAAAATCTCGTTCTTTAAATGTGTTAATAATGTGTTTGGCTTATAAGGCCGACATTCATTCTTTAATAAAAATTTTCTAACACTTTCTTTCTTGTTATCGGTATTTTTTATAATATCGGTTATGCTCGTTTGCCCGTGTTCAATAACTTTTAAACAAATGTTAAGTTGGGCCTCACCATCATATTTACTTGGAGTGTGCTTTTTCTTAAATTGATTTGCTACGGATCCTGTTTCTCTGAATTTCGACATTATCCTTGACACAGTAGTATGTTGAACATTTTTTCCTGGATACCGTTCATCAAAAATGTTAACTACTTGCCGGTATGGTGTATTCTCACCACATATTAAAACTATTTCTATTATTTCCTGAAGAGACAACATTATTGCAACAATAACTGTTAAAAATTTGACAAATTAATCAACAACTTGACACTACCATAGCATGCATTTTGTTTGTCAAGACCTACTTTAAAATTGTATTCAACGTGATTAAGCATCCTTACCGCCCTAGTTAGTGTTTATAAATAATTTGTAAATACTGAATATTGAAATTTTAATGTAATTTCAACTCTAGTAGTTTTATTAATACTTATTGCTGTTTTTGAGTTGTCTGCTTTTTCAAAATTAAAGGTACTGACGTTTGTTTAAGAAAATAGCTAAGTGATTAAAACTTTGCACCAGTCATGTTGAAATTTTTATAGCACATTTTTAATTTCTCTCTAAAAATGTCCGTATGAGTAAAAATTTATCAGAAAAGTTAAACTCCATGATGAGTTTGTTATGTATACATGAATTGATGACAATTAACCGAACTTGTTTTTTAAAATAAAGGGGATATCTGTCAAAAATAAGCAAAACGTTAACTTTATCCTAGTTGCATAAAATTTGGCGTATAGATATAAAATTGCCGTAGACACAACTTTTTCAAGTAACTTCGATGTAGAAATGCACTTTTTCAATTAGAAAAAAATAAGTTGAATTTGACAAACACTGAACGTCAGTGGGTCGCAGTTGGCCGCATCATTTTAAGTTAAATTCAAAGCACAAACAAGTGCCGAAGTTAAACTTCATTGAATCTTTTCGAAAAAAAAGTTTTCCATATGGTGTGCACTTTAATGGTGACATTGTATGTCCATGAGAACTTTTTTCTTAAAACGACCTAACGAATCACCCTCTGTTAGGAAATACCCTGTACAAAGAAAACATCAGAAATGTATCGAACGATTTTGTGTTCTCCAACAATCTCCATTCCCAATTTTTTCAAATGAATGAAAAATAATAAAATAGCATAAACAGTATTATTTCTTTGTCGCCAGTACAAAAGTTGCAACAAAAGATACATTTCCTGCGAACCGATGATCCAAAACAATCGAAAATTCTCGGTAGGTACCCTCATTCATTCTAATAAATTATAGGTCTTCGTAGATACCCCTACCCAGCTCCGAAACATTTTTAGAGAGACACGGGCCATTTCGCTACAGGGTACCTTTCAAAACCGCAAACAAACTCCATTAGGAATGACCCGGGATCCTACAAACATGGCGAATAATGCCTAAGCCGCCTTTTGATACTTGTTAGCGTGCAAGATCCGCAAGAGATACTGTAAATATAGTGGAAGAGAAGCTTCTTGAAATGCAATATTCCGACACATATTGTGGTTCGGTTTGCCATTCACAGTGCTCTTTTCATGTCATTCACAATGGATTCGAAGATTAGGACTTGTTATTTCCTTTTTCTGTACATGTTAGGCGCTCTATTAGGTTGTTACTTTTTTTGTTAACGGACGAGGAGTTTTATAATGGTCAAGGTGTGAACACAATGCTCTCGAGCATGTACTAAGCTTGAAATTATATGGAGGAATATTCAATAGTATGAGTGAATGAGTAGTGAATACCTTCAAAATCCGTGAAAAATATGTGCCGAGATAATCTCGATATATTGTGTATTTAAATGTGAATTAATAACTATTTTCTGAATGAAAAATGATTCAATATTCATTAGATCTGTTTGCTGTTGAATGTCATTTTGAAAATGTTGATTGTTCATTGAACTCTTTTTACATTTCTCCACTTCTTAAGTGGTCTATGAAATCAAATACGCTGCCTGTTCGAAAAATAAGGTGAATTTGGTTTTTCTCATAACATTGTTGATTTATTCATCAATTTCTTCCCCTTCAGAATATTCTTCCTCGATCTAATACACTTATGCTAGCATTCTTCCCAATCAAATCGAATCAAATCAAATATACACTCTCGGATAAACATATTGCATATTTTAATTCATGGATAACCCATCCTAAATTAGTTTTAGAAGCAATTGGACTATGTTCAGAACCCTGATAAATTTTTCTTACTACTGTTGAACGGATATTGTCCTGACCTATGAGAACAGTAGGATTTGCATCTGCCATATCTTGAATGGGTAGTCCCTGAAGATGTACATAATCTTTGAAATTATCCATCACGATGGTTTGAGAAGGTAAAGACAAATTTGTTACTGTTCTCAAACCACTCATTTGGAAGATTCTTGCCCCTTCATGGACTCCAGAAATTTTCATATTGATACATTTTGAACCTTCATCATATGAAACAATATTCTTAGCCCATTGCATGCGTAAAGGTTTCGTTTCCCCTGATAATCCTAGTTGTTCTGCAATCTGACTTTCTATCAAAGATATGGTCCCTCATCGAACAGAGCATAAGTATTTAAATACCCTTTTGGGCCATAAATCTTGATAGTAGCTATCCTGAGAAGAACTTTAGAATTATTGTTGGTGAGACAAACTGTATGATGTACGAGAAAGTACATCAGAAACTTCACTTTTATGCAGAATGCTATGGTGGCGTAATTCGCATCCTTTAAAGCCGCAGCGTTGTTTTGATCTACAAAACCTCTTTGAATGACCAGTTTTCAAACAACAGAAGCAAATTTTGGTTTTGTATAATTTTGACCAACAAATATCTATACTATCATTTTTCAATATGGAACAATTGTAAATTTCATGACCAGTTTTATTACAGTAAAGACATTTAGGGCCATCGTTTGCTTGATTTGTAGCA